AGATGCACACGCCTTTTAATCCTTATTTCTCTGATCTTCAAGCTAGGGTTACAGCCTCCTTAAATAGCAATGCATAATGGGCTTGGGCTGTGACAAAAGTAACAACCGCAGTCTTCATAAACAGCAGCAATCATCCAGATTGATTTGACCAATCAAATCTAATCATATCATTCTACAAATCTTCAATCAATCTACTGATATTAAATCCAAATCAAAACCAATCTGATCCACAAGAGTGTATCAGAAATACCTTTAGAAATCACTAGAAACACGCAGTTTCCACATCAGACAAGCTCAGACAAGTGCAGCCAGTTTGCACAAAAAGATACGCTCATACATACATTCATACAGAATGTTTAGATCATGAGTGTCAAGACATCGTGTTTGACATCATGAGAAAACCTGTTACAAGTCACAAAACAACCTGATAATCCTGACAGACAGGTGTCACGACATCCTATAGGACATCTTGTGATTACTTCTAATTTTACCAAAATACCTGCCAATCAAGAAGTAACAGTTTCCCCTCTAATTCTTATTGACACTTATGTTGCTTGTAGGAGATTGTCATGTATGTTGAAAATATGTTAAAGCTTGAGAGTGGTGCAGTTGGAGAAATTATCGGTACCATGCTTCCTGAACTTGTGGATAAATTTATAGAGTTGGATATAAGTTTGTTAAGCTTGTGTTATATTTCAATCAAAGCAACACTGGTGCATTTGATCATTAAATTAAGAGAATTTCATATTGCACGCTATGTACTTCTAATACACCATGTGAATTTTCTTATATTCTCCCTAATTTCAGAGATACATTTTCTGACGCACCCTATTTTTAAATAACCGTTGATATATTCTGGAGATACATCTCCTGAACCATGTTAAACATTCATAACATGTCACCCATAAGCCATTTATATTTGAATTGTTTCGGAGATGCATCTCCGGTAATATTCCAGATATACGTCTCTGAACTGTATCAGAATAATTATTTTTTACTATAAGTTGTGTATTTGTTTTCAGATGAAGTATGAAGCACAATCTCGAATAAAAAATGGATGTACAAAATAGTAAGAGACTAATATTGGGTGTATCGAAAATAATATAGAAATATAATAGAAAAATGACATACAGAGTGAGATCCAAAATGTAGTAACAATGTAAGAAATAAAGTACAAACTATAGTACAACAATAAAATAATAACAAACAACTATTGGATGTGTCTGACAACCTCTCCTCTACCTCTTTTTCCTGGTCTGCCTCCTCGGCCATCAATCCCCCCGTCTTCTGGTGAGTCTCTGGTACAACAATGCCCCATGTGCCTCCGCCAGCATGGCATCCAAGACTCACCTGACAACAAATCCCTTCAGGGAAGATACCATCGTCAATGTCTGCCCGCATAATCTCTATTATGCGATGACACTGAGGCAAGACATCCTCAGTATGATCTAGATGAGTCTGCTCCTCCTCTAGAATCTTCTAATGAGTTGATCTCAGCAGATCTGCTAGAGCAGTCTGCACCATGTACGGATGTGAGACCATGAAGAACCATTTGATGTACCCATCGATGTAGCTCTAGTCATTCAGCGTTATGGTAGCTCGAGCCTCATTTAGTACCAGGTGACTCATAATCAATAAACATCTCATATATTTGTCTACGAGACAAGGCAGGAGGAGCAGATACAACATGGTGTCTAGGGACGGTTTGGGTGTACCTGAATTGCCGCATGACGCTCTAAGGCAGATGAGGAGTAAGAATATGCGATCCGCAGGCCAACTATTTGGAGTATAGTGGCATGTCATCAAATGGCCACGTTTGATGGTGATCCACAAAGATGTTGAAGCGAATGTCCTCACCAACCAAACAGTCAAGATAGACTCTAAAAGGCTCGACTGTCTGGTTCCTTCTCAACGGGATAAAAGCACGGGCACGCGACATGTCTTAGTGTACTCGTCCACACTCGCCCAGCCAGAGATGTGCGGGAAGTGCTGGAGGATCCAAATCTTAAATGAATAAAGAAAATAATTTAGGGGTCAAGAATTATCGACAATGGTTTCTCAAATATGAAATGAAAAAGATAAAAAAAATCATTCAAGGATCAAGAATTATTACCACCAGTAGTGTCGCGTTGGCTATGACCTGTTTCGTCTTCCACATACATCTCCCCCTCAACTTCGAATACAGATAGGCCAAGCAAGCTGTCCTCTAGTTGTACTCGTCGATCTGAGTGAGATCCAAGAAGTATCGGAGGTAGACGATATCAGTTTAGGTGGCACTCGTGTCTACAAAAATAAAAGTCCCAACCAAAAAAAGAAAGTATGCTCTCAGAGCATGTGTCTTATGTATCACTTGTTGCTCAGCATCACCATGTGCCTGTCGTACCATACTAATCTCTTCCATATACAACTTCATCGGGAACTTAAATCTAACATGAGCACCCCTAGTCTTATCCTTCTCTTTCATCGCCTTCTTTGGATCTTCCCCCATATGTTCTACCATCATCTCATGATCGAGGAACTTCCCCCTGATTGGAAGATGTAACAAACATGAAAAATTGTCCAATGTAATAGACATCTCACCATGCGGAAGATGTAACGAAGAGATCTCAGAGTGTTATCTCTCCACAAATGTATTAATCATCTCATGGTTTACTAGAGTGTAATCGGTCATGCATAAGTCCTTCAGACCAGATAAAGATAGAACACTGTGAAACCAATCCTCCTTATGTTGAGGCAATGCAGCAATCTTCCTCCCATGGTTCAGAAACTTCTGGGGATCACACTCCTGAAATATTCCAGAAATAAACAATGCAGTAATAATCATCGTTAGAAATTAAAATTAAAATTAACGCATAATATAACAAATAATTCAACTAATGCTACCTTTTCGTCTCAAATATCTCTGGCGATATGGATACAGAGGAAGTAAAGACATATCATATGGTCCTCCTCCAAAACCCTCTATCTCGGCACCCGCAACATCCTCACTCTCTGGAGGTGGCACAAGATTAACAGGATCATCAGCGAGAGGTGGCACTGGTGAATCCTGATGTCTGCAGGAGGATGGGGGAAGTGACGCGTCAGATGGTGAATCTCATCTCCTACGGGAAGAAGAAGAGGTGGAGTAGCCTGAGATGAAGGTGGAGTGATCTGAGATAAAGTGGCTTGAGGTGAAGGATGAGCCCCAAGAGTATACTGCGCCCCAGAAGTCGACGCCTCTGCCTGATTAGATGTACCTACTGCCTCTGAAACTTGCTGGCTCCACTCCCATCGAACGGATGCGTGTTGGGCAACCCGACCATGTTTCATTATGTCGACTTTGTCAGCCATAATGCTTGTAAGGTAAAGTAAGGCGTATCATTAGTGCACGTAGACAAAACACACAAACAAGAAAATTATAAAATAAAATAAAAACAGACTGCAGAAAATTCTGGAGATGCATATCCGAAAACACCATATAATAATGATGTTGAACAATTCCGAAAATGAATTTTCAGAAACATCATAAAACTATTTACTTTGAATAATTCCAGAGATGCATCTCCAAAATATCGCAGAGGATATGAAACGCTGAACAATTCCGAAGATGTATTTCCGAAATATTCTACAACTCAGAGATCGCGACAATGGCGTAATGTACCTCTTGCAATGTGAAAAATAATGATTTGATCGCCATTTTGAGCCAACAAACAAGTCATACAATAAGTTTAAACTATGTTACTTGTGATTTCTATACATTTCTACTCCTAATCACTGATTTCTACACATTTACACTAAAACTCAAATATTTATCGAAAATTCAAAAAACTTACGTGAAATTGATGATTCTGATGTTATTTCCGATATTAGAGATGATGCTTGATGTTCCCTTGAGTTTCTCTGACGCCTTGCTTGATGAAATTTGATGCTTGGTGTAGAGAAGTGTATTGAGAGATTTTGGTGTTTTGTGTTGAAGAAACTGTGAAATGAGGGAGGAGAATAGTTTGACACGAGTTACACTCTAAATTGTTTCGGAGATATATCTTCGAAATATTTCAACGTTTACTGAATTTAATGTGCGTCCGAAAATGTATCTTCAGAATTAAAAAACATTCGTAAAAACTCATATAATACACTAAAAACATGTAGGGTCCATTAAAAAATTCTCTAAATTAATTGATTTTATTTGTCTCGGATGCAGGTGAAAATTGAATATGATGATGGTAAGGTGCATGGGAATGCTAAATGCATACTTGAAATCGAGTAAGAAGATATTGCTGAATTTTCAAATGATGATGAGAAGTATTATAGTATGGTTTGGCTCAGTATAATCTATTTAAAGTACATCATGCATTCTTTCTTATTTTATTTTATTTTTTAAATTGTTGATTTATAAATATTAACTAGTTTTTATTTAAAAGAAAATACAAATAAATACCGTAAGGACATAAACCTTGGACCAACTACCAATTACCACCTGTAACTTCATTACAAAGGAAAACCCATATTTTCTAAATCACGTTTAGACCTAAAACTTCATTAGATTATAAATTGAAGAATTTTTACAATTCTAATCTAACATTATAATAAAAATGATCCCATATCAACAGTTTTTAATTTTTTTCCCGCAAAAACCCACATCAATATCTGAAGAATGACAGTACAATTAATATATAGATTAATTATTATGACATACCAGATATCTATTATGTAATTTTTTATTTAATATATAGATTAATTATTATGACATACCAGATATCTATTATGTAATTTTTTATTTAATATATAGATTAATTAATGAATCAAATTGGGACCTCAGGAGCTTAGTAAGCAAGCATGATCTGCATGACCATGATACAACTTTGTAATAACATGATAATATGAAAACATTGATATCTCTTACAAAAAGAATCAATAATCTTACATTACATCTGAATGAAACAAGGGTTACAACATAGTGTTTCTTCTGGTTACAGCCTTAGATCATTATTCCTCTGATTTTGCATTTCATAAAAATGATTTTACTTCCTTGCTCTATCTCCTCTACCCCTTGATTTTGCATCAAAATGATGAGACTTCAACTTCTTTTTGCGAACTATTTGCGAAACTTCAACTTCCTCTCTGAAGGGCATACCCATGAGAGCCAATAATTTCTGTCCTTCTTGATCGCTTTTAGCAGTTGTTGAAATGCATACATCCATTCCTCTAGCTGTACCGAAACCAGATTTCAGCTCGGGGAACACTGTTTGGTCCTTAATACCAATGTTGAAATTTCCATTCCCATCAAAGCTGCTTAGATTCAAACCTTGAAAATCTCTTGTCCTAGGAAGTCCTAAGTTGATAACGCGGTCTAAGAATGAGTACATTACCTGTCGAAAATCAAACAATAGGTATTAGATTCCGGCTATATATAAACAAGTTCAAATTGAAACCAAACTTTAATGTACTTAAATAACAATTTTTTTTATGAAAGTTCAAGCTGATAACAGATTCACTTATATTGCCACATATATTCTATTTGTTGGCGCAATGAAAACTCCATACAGTCATTCAATAAATTCCTTGTAAGCACTCTGTATCAACACCAAATGTTGAAAAACATATACACATTACGACGACGACGACAGCAATAACCAAGCACTATCCCACTAAGTGGTATCGGCTAGATGGATCAAATAATGTCATAATGTTCTATCAAATGTCATGCTCCTATCCCACTCATTAATCTGGAGAAAAAAAATTAAATAGTTTCTCTTATAGTTTTTTTAGGTCTTCCTCTACCTCTAGCAGTTTGACTATCCTATATCTAATCTACTCTCCGTACTACATAGTCCACATGCTCAAAGCACCCAAACCTAGTTTCCACCATCTTTTCTGCTAGGTGCTACCCCAACTCACTCTCTAATGTTGGCTTGGGTTTATTTTTAATCACAGAATTATGGACTGCACATTTGTAAAATACAAAAAAGAAAGCCACAGAGGCTGAAAACAACAAAAGCTAACAACCTCACATGATTTTACTTCCAAGCCAGTGGATTAAGCCAACACTGATTCAAGTCAAATCTAAAATATTTAACCTTTGATATAATCCACCACCAAACCTCAACTTTCAAAAGGTCGATAATCATATATACCAATGATTCTTTTATGCCTAAGATTGTTGCATTCTTTCCATAAAGTCCAAACTCTCACCATCTAAATAGCTTTCAAACATTCGTAAGTAGTGAATAAATATACATTATACAGGATAATTGAACAAATAGTACTAGTAGCCACATGTCTCGTAGTAGTCTCCTAGAAGCACCTCAGAACTGATCAGAGTTCATTACGTTAACTCATTAAGGCATCCACCTATACCCAGGGTTTTAAAAAACGGTCGCAATCGCGTCGCGGCCACGTAAAGGCTTTCGCGAATTTGATCGGTACAGGTGTTGCGATACTGATTGCAGTCGCCGCGGTGTGAGTTAACCACAATTTGTTCTTTAATATAGAAAACGGAGATAAGGGTATCAGTATCAGCATCGGCATCTGTCAAAACCGTTTTGTCGCAGCCGTTTTCATGGTCCAAGACCGTTTTTTAAAACCCTGCCTATACCAGCAAATTAACCACAATATTCTGGAAAATGACAGCAAGTTTATATAGGGGCTTCAGCAGCTAATTATCATAATCTAACAACCTTATGATTCATGGTAGCCACATTGCTTTAAATATTATCAAAAGTGAGAAAATTTCAGGCAATTCAACTAAATAATCATCTCATTCATGCCAATAAAAGAAAATGTCAAACAATTCAACCAAATAACCATCTCATTCATGCCAATAAAATATATATTCACCGGCCAATTTCAATTGAATACTAAAGGCTCACTTTTCCTCGGAGTGTCACAGCAATTCCAAGTGGTTGACCTTCCCTGATCTTGAAGGTGGCAACAGAAATCCTCGCCCGAGTCTTAACAGGTCTCTGTCCAGTGATCAATGCTAGATCATTAATCGCAGCATCCAAACCTTTTGCATTCTGTGCAGCTTCTCCAATACCACAGTTTACCACAATCTTATCAACTTTAGGCACCTGAAAAGAGGGGGAAAAAAACAATATTCAACATTGCAAAATCTGATTATAAAAAACCGTATTTTTCACTTTAAATATCAAAGTTGAAAAACCCCATCAACCCAAAACAAATTTACATGTCTCTATAACATTTTCCCGCAAAACCCCATCAACACAAAACCTAAAAAGGCTGAAACTTTCACTGATAAACCAAACAAAAACCCAAAATCAAATTTTTTAAAGGAACTCCCATTCCAATAAAGAGACAAAATTTCTTCAAACCCACCTGATGAATGTTGGTGTAAGAGAACTCTTCCATGAGCAAAGGAACAATTTTCTCATTGTAAGTTGTTTTGAGTCTATAAACCTTCTCTGCTTCAGACTTCTCCACCAACACAGTCCCCGAAACCGTGGCCTTCACAGACACCACTCCACATCCGTGCCGGTTGTTTCCATGAGAAAACAATGAAGAAAATTGGGTTGGAAAAGTTCGAAACTGAGGGAGAAAAGAGGAGCCGGAAGAGTGTAGAAGCGAAGGGGTTGTAGCCATTGTTGTGGATTGAGGAATGGTGAGTCTGAGAGGAAATATGGATAGCGTTGTTTGAAGCAGGTTTTACAAAGTGCCCTTGTTTTGAACCTTATTTACGAAGTTTGAGAAGAGTAAATGAGGGTAAATATTAGCGAAAGAGTGAATGAGATGTGGGACAAGATGATAAGAGACCATGGATAAGGGGTGGAAAACAAAACTGTATGTATATACAGAACAATGGAAATTGCCTTATTTCACTGCCTTTAAAATTTGGAATTAAGCTTTTTCAAGAATAAAATAATTTTTTTGGAATAAAATTATACACTCCCATTTTTTTAACTATGCATTTTATGATCATGAATCGAAGCCTTCTTTTTTTTTTATGTAATGATTGGTGTTTGTAATGATGGATTTTGATGCAATGCAATACTTTGCATCAATTATGGTTTAATACATTTATGAAATATAATAATGGGAATTATATACTCGTGTGTATGATTGCAAGAGACATTGTATGATAGGGTTTTATGAAATTATCATATTTTACATTAAGTTTTAAGGTTAGAGTATTTATTAACAGCTTCTTGGATTGGGTAATCGGGAGAGAAATAGTTTCTCCTAATTTTCTTATGAAATCGTAGAAGTATGGGGAAGATTGATTCTTCCTCCACTGTAGGGGAATGGTTCATCTCTCTAAAGAATATTGTGTGTGCCACGTGTTGCCAAATGGGTTGACTGAGGAGAATGGGCCTGGTTAAGACGACCTGGGTTGCAGTCGGGCAGCCTGGGTGGCGTTCACCCAACTTTTCGTTTGACTTTTTGGGTTGATTCTCTTTAGGACCTTTGAGTTGCTTCTTTTCCGTCCCAATAAAGTTTTCCCATTTCACACTCTCTCAAGCACGGAACTTGTGAATGGTGAAGTGGTTAACTTAAAATGGACAACAGTTTTAGTGATACGAATCGGTTGAGAATTTTTTTAGATGAGTCCCTCAAGCGCTTCTTAGAGTGAGACCCTTAAGTGTTGCTTAAAAAGAATCTCTCAAGTGTTGTTTGGGGAAGGTGCATCATTTAATGCTTAGGCATGTTGGTTCTTATCTTGGGAAGACTCGATCACTATGAATCGTTGATTATGTTCATGTTGTCGCTACTGCGAAAAAGGCCGGCGGAAGACAGAAGAGTCGCCAATGTTCGTTATTTATCCCAAAGAGAGGGAAAGGAAACGACTAGAGAAAACCTACGAAAAAAGGGAAAAGACGAGGTTATCGCAACCAAATCTTGGGTTCGGGAGTTGGTTATGCAAGGGGAAACTAATCGACCCTAATGTTATCATGCAAAATGATCCTAAAGTTGGGATTGAAAGGGAAATTTATCCTAATGTTAGCATGCTTGGATTGAACACCTAATGTCTCTCCTACTCCCATCCTAAACGGAGGGACTAGGAATCCTAAGGGATCATGGCAAAGGACCAAGAAAACACAAAGCAATTCAATAACACATTAAAAGAAATGAAAGATGAAATGCAAACACAAAAGAGGCAAGGATGAGGTGAAATGGGAGAAGCAAACTCCTACAACCATTACCATCAATCATAAAAGAAAAGTGGGAGGAAAAAAGTGTGGGGCAGCAACCACCACAAGCACGTCTCAGCCAAACAATTCTTCAAACTCAAGCAAAGCAAATGATCATCACTTGAACAACATCCACAAAGTACGCATTCAAGTGGAAACCGAACGACATGTGTCGAAGAATCAAGATTAAACAATCAAGAACAATGAAACATGTCCAAAACAGCCCACACAAATGCATCATATCAATCCATGAAGATTCAAAGTGAACGGCAACCAAAACATGCTTACAAACAAACAAAAATGGCATTTTGGTTCTGTGTTAATTGGTTAACCGATTAACCATTTTAAAAATTTTGAAAATTCGTACTGGTTAACCGATTAACCAGTTTGTACTGCAACTGGTTAACCGATCAACACTGTACCAGAAGCAGAAAAACAACACCACAAAAGCACTTTCAACAATTAATCCAACGTGCAATCATCCAAATGATCATGTAATCAATTATGCATGAATTTAACACCAGAAATCAGTGATCCAACAACATGTAAATACATTCAAACATTGAGATCACAAATCACATGAATCAAAATCAATAAAACCACCAAAACTTGAAGATCTACATGATTATGCAAATAAGCTAAAAAAACATAATCGGATCTAGAATTTCCAACCTACAAAGCGGAGATTTGCTTTGGTGAATGTTGACTTACTTGAAATGAGTAGATACAAGTAAGAAACTCAGAGATTCTTCAAGATCCAAGTGTATTCTTGTTGTAGGAGTGAAGATCAACCAAAATTAAGCAAAAATAATCCAAATAAGCTCTTCCAAATCAACTTTCAAGATCAGATCCAAATCCAAACGAAAATTGAATGGAGAAATGAAGACAATAAGGATGAAGGATGAAGGTTTAGCTCTAGAATTCAATAATTCCAATGAAGAATCAAAGAACTCAAGTGAGAGCTCTAATGGAGTTTTGGAGTGAAAAAGTTGAGAGAAAATTTCAAGAGTGAGTGAATTCTGAAAATGAAATGGATTTATGAGGATTGATTAATGAGTTTTGGAGCAAATTCATTTAAATATGCTCTAGGTCAGGAGTAGAATGATGGTTTGAAGTGTGGCTATGAAAATTGGAATGGGATTAGGAATGGGAAATTGGTGGGAATTTGAATTGATTTGAAAATTAACCAAAATTCAAAGTGGTTCTAGATCCTTCTTCTGGTGTAAAATCTAATTCACAAGTGATCAAAATGGACCCCAAAAGTGGTTGCCTTTGAAAACTCGCGTGCAGAGCAAAATTTTCCTTGGTTAACCGGTTAACCCTTTTGGTTAATCGGTTAACGCCTTTGAAATTTTGAATTTGTTCTAATTTTGCTATGGTTAACCGGTTAGCACTATTGGTTAATCGGTTAACGCCTTAAAAATTTGAATTTTGGCGCCTTTTGGAGGGAAGCATGCACATTTGTCCGTTTTTGCTCATTTTGAGCCCCGTTAAGCTTCTGAAACTTGCCCTTGAATATTATAACTGTGAGAATGCTTGAGATAGCCTGAGTGTTGCCTCTTGAGCTAAAAATATCCTGCAAAATAAAATAAAGTCGACCGCTCGATCGTCGGGCAAAATAAATGTTAGAGCTGATGCTCACTGTTCAGTCTCTTGCACTAAAAAGAACCCTGAGCCACAAAAATACCTTGATCCCCTGTCTCAAGAACACATGCTATGATATGCAAAAATGCGAAAAATGAAAATGAAACATAAGCCAAGTGCAAGAAATGGTTGGTCAAATTTTGGGGTACAACAACTGCCCCTATTCAAACGACTTGGACTTAAAGGGATGAAAAGCGAACGGCTTTCAAACATTCAAGGTAAAAGACGGTTGGATACCAAAGAACCCAGAAATTTGTCAACCGCAAAAAAGAAACTGTAGAACTGATTCCCCGAAGTAGAACCACCAGAGAAAAATGTATCTGATAGTGGCAAAGGCAATGGGCTCACTGATTACCAATTAGAAAATATTGATACGCAGTCGAAAGAAACATTTGCTAACACGCAGACAACGACACTAAGTCGGTAAGAACATATGATTTCACCATTAGGCATCTGTTAAACAAATCAGACATCGAACCCAAAGGCCGGCTCAACACGAAGTTGAGAACATCTGCTAATCAGCAGGCATCTGTTAAATAAAAACAGACATCGAACCCAAAGACCGACTCAACATGAAGTTGAGAATATCTGCTAATCAGCAGGCATCTGTTAAATAAAAATAGGCATAGAACCCAAATGTCGGCTCAACAAGAAGTTGAGAACATCTACTAATCCAAGCGGGCATTCGCTAATAAAAGCGAGCATCGAACCCGAAGGTCGGCTCAACACGAAGTTGAGAACATCTGCTAATCCAAGCAGGCATCGAACCCGAAGGTCTGCTCAACACGAAGTTAAGAACATCTGCTAATCCAAGCAGGCATTCGCTAAATAAAAGCGAGCATCGAACTCGAAGGCCGACTCAACACGAAGTTGAGAACATCTGCTAATCCAAGTAGGCATCGAACCCAAAGGCCGGCTCAACACGAAGTTGAGAACATCTACTAATCTAAGCAGGCATTGGCTAAATAAAAGCGACCATCGAACCCGAAGGCCGACTCAATACGAAGTTGAGAACATCTGCTAATCCAAGCAGGTATTCGCTAAATAAAAGCGAGCATCGAACCCGAAGGCTGGCTCAACACGAAGTTGAGAAAATCTGCTAATCCAAGCAGGCATCGAACCCCAAGGCCGGCTCAACACGAAGTTGAGAACATCTGCTAATCCAAGCAGGCATCGAACCCGAAGGTCGGCTCAACACGAAGTTGAGAACATCTGCTAATCCAAGCAGGCATCGAACCGAAGGCCGTCTCAACACGAAGTTGAGAACATCTGCAAATCTAAGCAGGCATTTCCTAAATAAAAGCGAGCGTCGAACCCGAAGGCCGGCTCAACACGAAGTTGAGACCATCTGCTAATCCAAGCAAGCGTCGAACCCGAAGGCCGGCTCAATACGAAGTTGAGAACATCTGCTAATCCAAGCAGGTATTCTCTAAATAAAAGCGAGCATCGAACCCGAGGGCCGACTCAACACGAAGTTAAGAACATCTGCTACTCCAAGCAGGCATCGAACCCCAAGGCTGGCTCAACACGAAGTTGAGAACATCTGCTAATCCAAGCAGGCATCAAACTCTAAGGTCGGCTCAACATGAAGTTGAGAACATCTACTAATCCAAGCAGGCATCGAACCTGAAGGTCGGCTCAACACGAAGTTGAGAACATATGCTAATCCAAGCAGGCATTCGCTAAATAAAAGCGAGCATCGAACCCGAAGGCCGACTCAACACAAAGTTGAGCTCATCTGTTAATCCAAGCAGGCATCGAACCCGAAGGCTAGCTCAACACAAAGTTGAGAACATCTGCTAATCCAAG